AGTCAACCAAGTTGCGAAAACAAGGTCAAACAACTTCCATACTAGAATGCTTCCAGAACTCCTGTCTCTACTGTGCCTCATCCTCTTTGTAATCCCTATTCTCAGAATTATACCTTTTTTAATCCGTTTCAGCCTCTCCATTGCAAGTGACCTTTGACTTAATGTAATTATAACTCATCGATGTTCATTTATAATGACTCATTTGGCTCTTATATTACGCTTTCTCATGTTCTGTTTGATCGTCTGTATACCTTTGTGAATGTTCATTGCTGTTTGCTTTGGCATGCTTGTATGATACATTAGTGTTGTCGGGCGGATGATCACTTTCTATCCCTTATATGAAGAAAAACTGGGCTTCGAGGCCTTTCTTTGTAAGCTGTTATGTCACATGGCGGACAAAACTTTCGCTCAACTCCACCGGGGTTGCATAACTTATTCGCACATTTTAACAGTCCTCACTTCACTCCTTAAATAAACTAAGTTCCTATTTATTTTATTATCATCTGCCATCTTTGGCAAAAATGGTTGTAAGGATGATGATGTTCGTCTTATAACGGATGGAAGCTTAGCTTATTTTCACCGGAATCTAAGGAGATTGCTTCGGCAACAGTGTCAACAAGAATTTTTCAGTGAAGCCCATCGGCCGCTGTCCTCGGGTGGGATTGACCTTCGAATCTACTCACTGCACAATTTCATTTGGAATGGGAGTGAGGTATGAAGAGTTATATTGAACAGATATTATGTCTAGAAACTGCTTCGTCATTCAAAGTAACCTCAGATTTTGTCGTCTTTAGGACTAATCAATGGTAGGATTTTTAGTTAATAAATAAATTTTACCAACTTTCTACTGTGATGGAGATTTTGGTCAATTTCCCATCACATTTCTATCCACTTACCCTCATATGCACTGCAACATAATCGAAAACCTCACCTCGGGATTCATATCTTGAGTATGCTGAGATTTTTAACTATACTAAGGCTTGGTGTGCTCTGTGGCTATGCGCTGATTGGAATTTAATTACGTTTTTGATTAGAAGGTATAATGAATATGAGATGTGTTCACTATTTCGTTACGGTGATGAAAGTCTGGTAGTTAAATTTTGCAACAATGACATGAGTAGGTCTTAGGCTTCCATTTATTTCACATGTCCTTGCTTCCCCAAAAGGTATTTTCATTCAGGCAAGGATGGAATGAAGTTTCGCTGAAAAAATTGACTGGAAGGAAGTTGTGCAATAGTTTTATCTGAAAACCGAAGGAGGATTGCCGATGAGTGGAGACTGTATTGTGCAAATAGTTTCTTGGTCCACCTTTCTGTGACCACGATGAACTTGTGCTAAGCCTCCGTCTGTACTCCGTCAGACATCACTAGAGCACGGATTCATACTTTAAAAAATAGCGCAGAAAATATACTAAACTGTTGGCTTTCGGTGAGACCATTTCACGAATTTCTCCTACCAACTTTTCCCTCAAGGTGAAAAGTCATAACATAGGTGTTATTAACTTCCCCAATTGCTTAATTCCTTATATCCTAGCTCATATTATACAACTTAAATTCTCTATTCATTTTTGCTGAATAAGCGATTCTAGTAATTTTGTATCCTTTTATGCTGATCCGGATCAAGACGGCGTAATTTTCGACAAATTTCCTTTTCTTACGAAGTGTCTTATCTAACCCCACGCCACGCTATGTTTTTCATAGTCTCTCCATACCACTTTACGTCTTCATCATTTCTTCCTCCTCCATCCTTGTCTAGGCCTCTCCGTTGCCCCGCTGGGAGGATCTCGCATCACCCCCCTACGAGTCAGAAGACAGGCTGCGACTTCTTCGAACACCACACCGGACGAACCAACGCTCGAGTCCCGTCTCATCTTCGATTGCCACTCTCCATCCAACATCAAACTCTGCAATTTCTCTTGGCTCGTTTATTCCAGCCAACCATTCGGTTTCCAATTCGGACGCCGCCAGCCTCGCTAAAGGCAGTCCACTCAACTCATCACGCGACATCACTAACCATACTTCTGCTTCCTTCTGCAATGTACCCATTATCCCTGGACTTGGTACAGATCACGTGGCAATTAATTTTACTAGTTCGGATGTTCTTCAGCCAGCTCCGCATACCACTGCTTCCCCAGACCTTGTGGCGAGCGGACAGTCCACTGGCCACGTCACGTAAGCTTTGCTGTATACATTTCGAGCACCAAAACACACTTTTATGGGTTCCTGGTGAACTCTACTGGTGCCTCATGTCCGGACTTCTTTGTCTTCGTACAAGAAGTATATCTAAACGCTTAGTCTGGCTATGAAACTTGACTTTTATATTATATTCAGTATCTGCAGGGAAATTCTTTTAGTCGTAATCACGTACCTTTAGGAAATCCAAAAAAGAACATCTCTTCATAGACTTTCTTGAGCTGAGCATACGAAGAGTCGACCTCTATGGCGAACATCCTGTCAACTCGAGCACCACAACAATATTCATTAATAAGAACCTAGTCGCCCTGGGAAGATTAAGATTGTTTAGGCTCCGATCGTAAGGATTTGCAAACAATCTAATGCGTTTGTCTCATGATGTCAAGGAATTTCACGCCGACTTGCCTCCCAAAGGGTTTTATAATTGCAATTTCAGCCTCACTTACTTCTCTCCC